TCACCAACATGCATTGGGAGTATCTGGGTAATAACACATGAGCTCGCCAATTCATCTGGTCCCAGGCTTTTCTCTTCAAATTCTGATGGAAAAAGAGACATTAGTGCGAAGACATACTGTATTGATGTTCCTCCAACACAACTCATCCCCGCAAAGAGAAATCTATAAATGTCTGCCGCTCTGCGCTATATGTCACATTTCTCGAGTTTGCAGCAGTACTACTGTATGCACATTTGTCCGGAAACATTGCACTTTAGAAATCCAAATGAAGTGAGAGGTTCCAGACTAATAAGGACCAGCATGGAATCTGATAAACAACCCTGAGTGATGGCGCTTGAGTCAGTGTGTGTTGATCGGTAATGGAGTTAGATAAAAGCTCACTGGACCCCTGTAGCTCGTCATTTCTGCTCGTGGCTACATTAGCAGCTACTATCATAACAGACCTGGAACTCCAACTATGAGTGGGTTAGTTGCATTGTGGGTAGTTTAAGCATCAGTCAAAATGTGAGAGGAATTTATAGGGAACAAAGAAGATATTTCTGCTTCTGCTGCTTGATTTATACCCTTTTAGTACTCTTGTAGGAATTCAATTTTAAGTTCGATTTTAGACCAAATCTTTGTGTAACCCTGTTTTCCTTCTTTTCTGCAGCACCTTGAGTCCACACCCCAAAACAAACAGCAGTATTACATCCTGCTTATAGGCCTAAATGAAGTCATTTTATAATAATACATCTTAACTTGTGACATAAGCACATTCACAAAGCATATCAATTATATAAACTGACAATGATCTGCAGTCACTTTGAGAAGGAGCGTTTGATGACACAGCAACATTCTGTGTATACGCAGGTCCTAAGTACACCCACCATTTAGCCGCCTCACACAATAACCACAATATCATGCAGTCCTCCATCATCATCCTCTCATTTCACTGTAACTATACAGACATTGAAGAAGGTTTTAATCAACTTGCTCTTTGTTTTTTTTGCCACACAAGGAGTTTCTCAAGAAGCTTTTCATGTCAAGGGTTCTATTTCAAACTGAGCATTTCATCACAGCTGCTTGAGATCCACTTATAATCCACTGTTTGTTTTTTATTGTTGCAACATGAGCAATTCCACGAATTCTCCAAATAATATTCTGTTATTGGTATTCCAAACACAATCTCCATATTGTGTACTTAAGCATTCACTCGCCCACACTCAAACAGACGCCACCCACAAACACACACTTTTACTTGTGTGTTTATGTTACATGGCGTGTATGACTTTACTGAAAGGACTTTGTCAACACAGGGGAACATTTTACGACAGTGAATATGTCACATGATCTCCTGGCCAGTTATAGGGCAAACACGGCAGTTTGTAAAGTTCAAGATAAAGATTAACTTTATGGTCCCACAGAGAGGGAAACTCAGTTTTCAGTTGCATAATCATCAGGGATGTTTTCACTGCTGGTCAGTTCCTCATACTAAATAAAGCATCTGAAATTATAACTTCTGTCTTACATGTCTTAAAGCAGCTTTAAGGACAAGCCAGTGAAGTGGAATTCATGTCTGGGAAAATACCAGCTCATTGTAAAGAAAGTCTTGCAGATTAGATGCAATAACACAGAAAATGAAAAACAGAAGGCATAAGACTAAAGCAGAAGTTTTAAACATGGCTAACACCAGATTGAACCCTTTTGTCCACAGTGAGCCTCCCTCTCCCTGTGTGCGTTCGGGGCCTGCGGCTGAGCAGAGCTGGGCCAGAAGCCATTAGTTGCAACATGAGATATGAGAGCTGGGCTGAGCTTTGGCTGCACCCCAAGTCACAGAATGTACTTGAACGAAATCCAGCAATAAGAGTTAACACAGGCCAAAGTGGATTTATCTATCCGTGTCTCAGATTGCATTTGTCTAAAGGAACAAGCAATCTTCCCACTAACGTTTTCAACATCTCTACTTATTTATTTATACAATTCACTTTCCTCTCTTGTCTTCTAAAAGACCACAAACTCCTTAAAGACACACAAAGTGGATAAATCTGATGTTTTAGGAGAAATGCAGCTGGAGTACATGTTGACAACATTGTGGGTCCAAAATGAAATGCAATATGTCAACAAGTACTGGGTCGATTGCTAGGACATTTGGTACACACATTCATGGAGGGAGAAGCCTGCACGTTTTTATGATCGTTTGACTTTTCCTCCAACAAAACTGTTTGATTGGCAGCTTTACTTTTAGTGAAATGTTAACAACTAATGGATGTATTGCCATGAAATGTGATAGTCGTTCATTTTACCCTGAGCATGATTCTTAATTGTTGTTTTGATCCCCTTCTTTTCCCTTTTAGTGCCACCAGCATAAGTTATACGTTCAAACATTTCCACATCTGCAACATGGACTGGCACACATTTTAAAACAGACAATCATTGTCCCCAACTCTCTTTGGTGATCCCCTTACTTTGTCTAGCAACACCGTGACGTATTATTTTTGTTCTGGATTTTAACATCTTGACACTAGTTAACATTTGGTACAGACGTTTGTCGTTTTCAAGTATCTCTCATAACATCTTTAAAGATGTCGTTGTTTGTCATGAAATTCAGTTGAGACATTCATGGTCCCCAGAGGAAGAACTTTCTGACTGTTATGATCCCAACATTGACCTTTAGCATCATGGTGTTGTTAACATGTCTATTTGTGTGCAATTTCTAAACAACAATTGGATGTGTTGCCATGAAATTCGGTACAGACATTCGTGGTTTTCAGAGGATGAATCCTACTAACGTTGGTGCTTCCCTGACTTTTTATCAAGCACTGTCAGCAGCAGGTCAAGGCTGTAACTTATTCACTGAAAAAAATCATCAACAATATAGATCGTCATGAAATTTGGTTCAGACATTCATGGTCCCAAGTCAAGAAACCTTCTGACTGTTATGATCACCGAACTCTTTCCTCTAGCAACACCGTGCAATTTCTTATTTTTCTACCTGAAGTGCTTCCCTGACTTTTAATCTAGCTTGATCATAAGGTAAAAGTTTTCACTTATTTCACTCAAATCTCTTGACAATCGTCTCAATTGAAAAATAAATTGATTGTCAATTGAAATTTGGTGCAAATATTATTTTCTTTATATTTAATTTTGTATTTAGCATCATTTTAATTTGTCGAAGGATACCTGCACAGCTGAAGACATTCCCATCAACCTCAACCGTACTAGTGTCTTGTTCTTTTTACTTAGCAAATGTTTGCTAACACGCTACACCATCACGATGAACATGGTAAACATCGCATTCTAAACATGAGCAATAGGTCAAGATGTTCTGTTCCTCTGTTGTGTTTAAAAAAAAAATGAACGTGTGTGTGTTTGTACACATATGCACTACCCCCCCTTTAACTCCACACCCTACAGATAACAATGCACAGTTGCTCACATCATTAGTATTGATCAGTCTTTCTTAAACCGATCACAAAGCAGCCAGCCTCCGCTCTCTGAAAGCAGTCAGATGGACAATGAAGATACATTTGATTATCCTCACAATCCATTATCTCTGGTAACACACTAATTGCTTTATTTATAAAGTGAAAGTAAAGGAGTGGAATAGACATGACATGATTTTGTTTTTCTTCCTTGCAACACGTGATAGAATATATCAACATGCTTCAAAGGCATATGTAAAAGTGATATTAACATTTTCATCTGCCGCTATGTTAGTCTAAGGAGGTGTTAGGAATACTGACATTTGACATTTTGATGTACATACATAAATTAGAGAAGCATAGTTAACATTTTGTACATTGCAGCTATGAAGCTATAGGACTTCAGCTGCGGTGAAACATGAGGCAGATATTTTTTTGCGGGGAGGAAATTCCATCCGTGCTAGCAAACAACTCAAATCTGAAACACGCGGCCAATTAATGATAATAAATGTGTCAGCAGCACAATGTTCTCTCTTCGCCCTGTGAGCCTCTTGTTGCTGCACAGAAACCCCTCTCCCAGCAGATGACTCTATCCAAGCTTTAAGAGGATTTCCCCCCCCCATCCATTCCTCTATTTAATGTTACGCTTAGTAATCCCTCTGTGTGGACACTGATCCATCTGCATCATTAACACCGTTATCCTGTTTGAATAGACAGTTACACAACATCAAGGTACTTTTTTGAATGCTCAGTAGGCTATATTTCCCTGAGGCTTTTCTGATCAAACCAAAGCTATTGGAAGTAATCGTTTAAACAGCACACACCAGTAATGTTATCATACATTATTATTAATTCAGGAATACAATTTTTACCCGCGGATAATATCACAGCAGAATAGATTTAACTTTAAAATACACTGCAGTACAGCAGATTAATGACCTCTGTTTTACTGTTCCGAAGTAGTATCTGTATAACAAATAGTACACAGCTTTATCAGATTCCTTCTAATCTTGGGAAGATTTCCGTACACCCAACCACATTCGTCCTCTGTGTCTACTTAATGGATGTTGCATAAGGACCTATTGAGCAGGAACACAGATGGAAGGATACTGCCCCCTGTTGGAAACACTGCTACCAAGGGTCTAGTTTACATCACGCTCTATAAAAAAGGGACATTTTGAAGACAAATATATTGGTGCTCTGGATTTTCTAGGAGTCTCAAACTCAGACCCACGTCTAAAGTCTGGTTCCACAGACGCTTGGAGACAATGGGGTGCTTTTGTCTTTGGGTGACACTTTATTTTCACAGGTTTTTAAAATAATTTTCCTGACATGAACCTTTGCACAGATAACAAATCGGTTACATCAGCAAATAACTGTGTATGTATCAATTAAACATGGCCTTGATTTTTTTCGCAATTAATTAGTGAGGAATTACATAATTATTTGAAGAATATTATTGAATTTTATTTAGACATAATGGCCATGTAAAACATTTTTATCATTGATCTTTCCGTGTTAAGTAGCTATTTTTGATCAAATCCATATTTAAATGTACCTATTCCGACCATACCATGAATCAAAAGAGGACTAAAAGTATTAATGTATAATTCCCATTTTATTTTCAGTATTACGCAACATTAGAAGTATAAATATCTGTTTTAATATACAACATCTATGACATCCATAGAGCTTTCCTTGGGCAAAATACAAAACTCAAAACACTTTTATTGCACATATTTCTAAAAGACAAACCATCGTAAGCAAGTTTATCTAATACTAGTACAGGGGGAAGAAGAAGAAAAAAAGGAAACGGAAAAGACAAGCAGAGAAGAGAAGAACCTGACATGAAAATACATTGATTACAGCACAAACAAATGTTCTTATTACACTTCCTGGTGGCAGGGGAGCAAAGTCTCACACTACTATAGACAACATTATCTCTGACACAGAACACACATTTGGCAAATCAACAATATACAAAATATACATCCATGATGCTTTGTAAACAAACATTGAATGTGCTTTGAGGGTTTTAATTTCAGTCGTCACAGGAAAAAGAGTGGGGGAAGAAACAAATAAAATTCAGTGATTTATTTGAAATCTGAAGTGAGGACGAGAGGGGAATTCATAAACCATGTTCAGCTCTAATTTCACTTTGCTTCTCACCCTTTGAACTGAATATTGGCAAACATTAAGGTGCATTTGTTCTCTCACATCACATGAGAAATACATTAACAATATCTAATGCACGTAGCATCAGACCCGTTTAACATTAAAATCTCTTCAACCGATCTCTCGTGTTTCAGGTTAACTCAGTGTAGTACATAAAAGTATATTCTGTGACATGTTTGACTCGTAGTATTTGAAGTAGAGAGGATAATTATTCTTTACATAGCCTGCACAACAGAGCAAATAAAGCATAACACACTTTAGTGTCCTAGGCTACCTTCATATTCTTATTTAGTGTTTACAATTTAAAGGCGTCTAAAGTATAAAAAAATGTTTAGGTGTGTATGTAAATGTAAGAAAGTGATTGTGAATAAATGACAGCCTGTATGTATCAAAGTACCAAGTATTTAACATCAAATGACTGTTGTGGACATGAACTATGCAATAATCAGGATTCCTCTTATGATACCGTTACCCAGGTGAAGCCAGATGCTGCTCATTATAGAGTCCTTTGAAACATCAAAACACTCACACTACTTTAACAACACTGAGGCTGAAACGGGACACTGACATCCTGCGATACCCTGACGCTGAAGCTCTGTGTGTGAACTGGTGTCTGACTCCAGAGTTATCTTAATGTCACTCCGCTGAAGCCCACCGCCTTCAGAAACCTACTGCAGTAATGATTGGCAAACAGAATATCTGGATAATCTCATTAATCAAACACAATGTTCCATATTTGTACACGTTTTAAACCTTAGCCAGCCAGCAAACACTTCATCAACATTAAAGACATTCTTGGGAAAAGCTGACAGCCCTCACAGTTTTCTTTTATAATGCTACATTTTTTGAAATAGCTCAGTAACCCCCTCATGACTTTTCTTCTCGATCCTCAAGTTAATTTTGGAACATGTGGAAACATGTCACAGAGAAAAGGATGCCTTTGACAAGATACATCACAGTAGCTTACTTTAGACCAAAGAGTTATCGAGCAGATACTCTAATATCGAGCATACAAACAAATGACACAGCAAAATCTATACATATAATACAAACCACAATCATGTTAAGCCCATGAATCCCAGTTTTACAGTGTTATCATATCTACATCATATTGCATACAAATCAAAAATATATGTACACACGTCAGAGGAATGTGAATTAACACCACACCTTGCTAAGAACAGCAAGTTTTTTATTTCCCATAATTGTAAGGCCTCTTCACTAATCTATCATTTCTAGAACCAAGAGGTGATTCTGTATTTTTTTGAAGTGAAAAGCACAGGATATAGTGCATTCCCCTCTGTGTACCACTGCACAAAAACCAGACATGAAAAGATTTGGATTATACGAACAGAAACAATCGTGATACAACTGCTGAGCAAATGGTGTGGTATACTGCATTAAAAGAGCTCAGATCATCTGAGTCTAGAAGTAAGAGTGCAATTCAAAATCATTTATGGCACTGACTTTAGAGTACGACCTTTCTAAGGCTCTTCCCTGCTGCCCCCGACATACTGATTGCACAAAGCAGAAACAAAACTTGACGTGAAAAGTATTACACCAGAAATCACCAGCAATGACTGCCTACATTCAGACCTAGAGACATGTACACGTGTGTGTTCTTATCAAACACACACACACCGACCACTCTATCCACGTGTGTGTGTGTTCTTATCAAACACACACACACACACACACCGACCACTCTATCCACGTGCGTGTGTGTTCTTATCAAACACACACACACACACACCGACCACTCTATCCACGTGTAACAGCTTGCCCGGTCCTCAACAAAGTAAAGAAGGCATGATGATGTTCGCACAAACTTCTTTCTAACTTTTTATTACATCTAGATTTTCTGAAGCGGCTGCTATTTTAACGTCCCTCTTTTCATTTCTTGTTATTAGAATTACGTGGCGACTCCTTCTGCTGCTTCCTGCCTGTGTCTCTGTCCGAGGCAGCAGCTCGGGATGCGTCTCTTTTGGAGTTTTTCGGCGCAGACGGGACCTCTTGAACGGTCTCTTTTTTCTTCCTCTCAGCCTGCTCCTTTTTGCTGGAGGGCCCCAGTTTCTCAGGGGTGGTGTTTCTGGTATCCGGGCCCTTAGGACTGTCCGGTTTGAGCGTTTCAGACTTGGGGCCTTCTCTTGATACCTTGATGGCACTTTCCTGGGGGGCACAGATGGAGACCCTGCCTCCACTGATCAGCATTTCTTTCCTCACTGCAGGTTTGGGCAGCACTGCTGGTGGGTCAGGCTGGGAGGGAACTTCTGACGGCAGCTGAGAAAGAGGGGAAGCTACTTCTTTTGGTTTGGCGCCATGGTGGTGTCTAACGGCTGAAGCTTGTTTTTTGGGTGAGGGGTCTTTGTGTTTGCCATCAAGACTTTGTTTAATAACTGGCGGTGGAGCTACGGAGGTCTTTAGAGCTAACAATGAAGGGAGAGTTTTAGAAGGGGGAGATTTTGGCTTTGATTCTGAGATCTCTTTTGCTGCAGAGCTTTTGGGCTGGGTTTCTTTTTGCTTCACCTCAACAACAGTTGGAGACAGCTGCACCGATTCTTCCTGCTTGCTTGGCACCGCGGCTTCTTTCTGTTTGTGAGTTACTTGATGGTTTGAAGTGGAGAGCGCAGATTCTTTAGACAGATCTCTCTGTTTTGAGTTTTGACTGGCCCTGACTGCTGGAGCAGGAGGAGCTGTGCTGTGATGTTTCACTTCCAGTGTTTTTGTGTCCGTCTTCACAGCGGCGTGCGGTGCAGGCTGCGGGTCAGGCCTGGACTTACTCTTGGGAATCAAAACATTTTCATTTGCAGTTGCCGGGGATTTTAGTTTTGTGGCGTTTTCTTTTACACCGATAACCGTTTCTTCTCTTTTAGAGGTGCAGTTTTCCGAATCTGATGATTTGTGTTGTGCTCTTTCAGCCGGACAGCTTTTGGATGGTGGTTCTAAATCTTTCACATTGCCTTTATTCTTTGGTGAAATGGGATTCTCTTTTTTCTGCAGCAACATGCTACTACTCTCTACAGCACCAACAGTGTTATCCTTTTTATTAACACTCTTTGTAACATTATTTAATGAGGGGACTGCAGTTACTGTACTAACTTCTCTCTTCTGCTCCACTTTTGGGTTTACCTCCACTTTTGCAACTCCAACGCATGTGTTGACCTTATTCAAACCTGAAGTGCCTTTCTCCCCAAGCTCTTTAACAGCTGATCTGTTATATTGGAAACCGTCCTGGCTCACAGATCTTCCCTTGCAGTCCTGACCTTCTGATTTAGAACTGCACGTTTTATCGTCCTTCACAGAACCAGATGTTGTGATAGAAACCGGCGCTTCTCTATTTGAAAAGCAGATGTTCAATGGCTGCCGTTGTGAAAGCACATTCTCTGGGAGGCGAGAGCTGTTCTGTACATTCACCTCAGACACAGAGGTCATGTTTGAGCTCTGCGCAATAGGTGTGTTTTTCTCGCAGCTCTGACGCTGACCTGTATCCAAACCACAGTTTATACTCTGCTTCAGCGACACAGGTAACAGTTCACTGGCCGGAGTCTTTTTGATGTCTTCCTCCGGCTTTGCTGAAGTCAAAGGGAGCAGTGTCCTGGAGCTGTCGGTGTGTTGTGATGTAGTGTGTGGTGTGACTTCCTCCTGCTCTGCTTCATCCTCCTGATCTTCATTGCTGACTTCCCGTATGGAGGGTGTTTTTCCACAGGAGGAGAAGTGGGAGCTGTGTCGAGGGCCTCTGTGTTCATGAGGCGGTAAACTGGACTTCATACCCGTCTTGCTCTCTGGTTTAAAAGGAAAACTTGAGGCCTCCATTTTGCTGGTTTGAGCCTTAAGTGGTTCACTGTTTCTTTCCTGTGTTTTCTCACAACTTGCACTGATTCTCACCTCTGTGGCTGCCTTCTTTGACTGATCTTTGGAGGCGACTATGCTATTTAGAGAAGAAACAGCTTCAGGACTTGTGGAACAAGCCAGGGGGCTCTTGAGCTTATCAGTAGTTTTCAGTTGGGGGACTTTTATTTGTCTTTCTGCAGGGGTCTGGAGCCAAATTGGACTCAAAGAAACAGTCTCGCTTGAGTTCTCCGCCATCTTGGATAAACAGTTTTCTGTTTTTGAGACTCTGGGCCCTGAGAGCAGCCCGATATCCAGAGTGCCCTCCAGAGGTTTGAGAGAGGAGACGTGGCGTCCTTCAAGTTTGTATTCAGACGATGTCTTTCGAAGTGGAGACTCTGCCGAGATGAGCTGGAGCTTTTCCACAGCGCTCTCCCCTCTGCCGGAGAAAAGCTTAGGGGACAGGCATTCAGGGCTGGAGTGGACGCTTCCTAGTCCCTTCATGTGTTCATGACACATGGCCGTGTCCAGCTGGAGGCTCTTGGACCTGGTGGAGCCAAAGTGCAGGTTCTCATGGAGGCCGGAGGACAACCGACACATGCAGTCCTCTCTGTCCTCAAACGACAGCCTCTTCCTGGTGAACTCCATGTTGGGAGCTTTGAAGTCCAGTCGGTCCGGCTTCATGTTGTCTTTACCCTGCCTGGGATGCTGCCACTCGCAGAGAGCTGATCTGTGTCCTCCGTCAGTTTCACCACAGCCGTTGGATGTTTCAGCGTGGCCCTCAGAGACACGTGTGTTGAGTTTTTTATACAGCACATCTTTTAAGGTTGTACTAGCAGCTTTGACCTCCAGAGGGCCAGAGTCCGGGCTGCTCTGGGTTTTGTTGTGGCCTCGGACCAAAAAACTCTCCTCCCTGTCATCACTGCACCACTGGGATGAGTCAGAATCACACAGAGCGTCCTGCTTCTGAAGAGACTCCCTCCTTTCTGACCAATCCTGTCTCTTTGCAACCATCTTGGACTTCAGCTTCTCCTTGTCGAGCTCTTCAAGAGACTCCTGCCGACCCACCTTGCGGCCGGCGGGCCTCTTTAAGCAGCCCTGCTCCACAGGTCGAACACGGGTGCTAGACAGAGGCTCACTGGCTGTTTCCTCCACACTCTGCAGGACGGTGTAATCCCTCTCCCCGGGCCTCAGCTCCTCATCCGGCACCTCCTCTTGGGTCACCTCCAGGCTGTGTTTTCTGGGGCATAGATGCTTCTTATCTCCTGAGTAAGAGGGGGATAGCTTCTCCTCGGACTGGACACGTTTTAGCAGCGGAGAGCGAGGCGGCTCTGCACTTTTTGGCCGCACAATATGTCGTACAATTGTGGGTGGGGAATGTATCTTGGCTGGGAAGGCTTGGTTTGATTTGGAAATGGCAACAGGGTGACCAGTGAGGAGGGGAGAGGGAGAGCGCTGAGGGGATGTTGGTTGAGGTGTAGGTGAAGGTGTGCGAGCCAAAGGGGAAAGGGGGATGCTGCCGGCTGACTTGCGGCGCCCCTGACGAAGCCTTTGAACCGGGAGTTTGGGGCCGAGGCCGTGGAGGGTGCTGGGACGGATGTGCCCAGACCCTGCGGGGGAGTTCGGAGCGCTGGAGCTGGGAGAGCTGCTCTGGGAGGAGTTGCCACCTGGAAGTTGTAAGAAGAAAAAAGGAATATCAGTAATATAATAAATGAAATCATAATAACACTACAATTCTCAGATAACATCTCCACTTGACTGGGGGAAGTCTGGTGTGGGGTGGAAGATGGCACTAGGGGAACGGGGGGAGAGACTGTGGGTGGGGGAGCCAGGGAAACTCTCACCAGATGACAGAGAGTGGTTGAGGGAGGTGAAACTGCGGCTTGTGTGCAGCAGAGGAGAGGGCTGCATGGCAAAACGCCTGAAGAGGGAGCGGCGCCTGAAAGAAAGCAAAATAAGACAAAGAATAAGAAAATCAGTCAGGATATATTTATTATAGTTTATTAATTTGCAAAAATGTACATGCAAAAGACAAAAAACAATGACATTATGACTCAACATTCACTTTTTGGATTTTAATCTACTTCAAAGGCTGGTTTGTAAAAATGTGGTGCCATTGTCCATTGTTTTTGCTTTTCATAAATCGTTTTGCACTCAGTCAATTTTAAACCTTTTTAAATGCTAAATATCCCTATGACCCTGTAGGCAAAATGCTCTGCATTCAAATACTCTCTTAGTGTTATCTGTCTGCCCCCTAGGGGCCAATAGGAACCAAAGTGTCTACACAGTTGATATCCGACCATTCACTTAGAAACACGTAATCATAACGTTATACATGAGATTCAAACCATGTGATAACAATTTGAAAAATACATATATTTGAAAATAAATCTACAGTGAATAAAATCCAAGTGTCAGTCGAAGAGTTTTACCTTTCTGGTGTCTTCTCCTTCTTGGGCTTCTTGGAACATCTCACCATTTTGCTCCTGTAGCTGTTCCTCTGGGCTGGACCAGTTTTTATTGAAGTATTTTCAAAGGGGGTAGTGGAGATGGTCACTTTGCTACCACTCTGAAAGGGAAGGAATAATAATAATATAAAAACTAAATGATGTTAAAGTGGACCTATCATGCTATATTTGAATAATATAGTGTAGGACCATACCGATATAAGGCATATTTATACTTTTTTTTTCTCAAAATACCAAACAGATCATGCATTTTAGCCATGCCTCATTTCGCTCAATTTGAAAAAAAAGAAGAAAATGCATTGTAATTTACCTTGAGCAGGAGCTCCACCACTTCAGTGTGGACGAGGCCGTGAACTGGTTCTCCGTTCACATGAGTGATGAGGTCTCCAGCTTTGAGTCCTGCTTTATGTGCAGACCCGCCATCTTCTACATTCTGATTAACAGACACATAAGAGACATTTACTTTCATAATCTAGATTTCCTTACAGTCATTTTGTTGCTTGAGGTATATTTTCACATTCGCTTGGGACAAAAGAAAACAAAGTTTGTGTTCACACGTATTGCAACTAATCAAGAGCTCCAGTGATATTCACTGAAAGTTTATACATTGTGTGATTTGCTATCCTGCATCATAATTGCTACATGGACCCATGTGGGGAAAATCAAATTCTAGTGACTACTCTGCTGTGTACTGTGCTAAAATGTGTGTTGTTGTCTCAACAAACAGAATGGTACATTTTGTGTGTTTTGTGTACAAATACAGGAATAGCTACTGTGTGGTTACTACCTTTTACTACTAATTTGTACAAGTGCTGTTTAAACAAATGTTCACTTTCACATTGATCAGGAAAAATTCCATTAGTCACATTGTACACATTCAAAGCAGTATATTACATATATAGATACTCACAGTTCCCAAGGAGTGAACCAAGACCCTTCATTTCATTCAGTCTTAGTTTGTCTGTTTGGTCTACACTACAATTTGACAGCTTTCACACCTGTCCAAATGAACTATACTAATGCATCACAGTTTGTTTAAACAGCAGCAAACCGGTTAAGCGTGAAAGCACCCTCACAGTTCACTGACTTATAATTGACTAGGACTTTCACTACAGGCTGATGTAGTCCTTACCCAGACCATGTGGTAGACAGTGTAGATGTCCCCGTCACAAGAATACACCCGAATGGCCCTCAGCGTGAAGCCGAACTTCTTCCCTGAGCTGTGGATGACGACGGGCTGCCGCGGGTTGGCCGTAAGGTGGGAGGTTTCTCGGCTTGGAGAGGAGTCTCTGGAGGAAGGGTCTGAGGAGAGGGAGTACGGGGAGAGGGGGCTGGCCAGAGGAGAGACCCCGAAGGTATCTGAAAAAAGAAAAGATAATCACCACCTGAGCAGCGGTGTCTTTCATTCAATCAATCACACCTTAGCGGGCCCTGGAGTCAGGTGAGTCTATAAAGCTCATGAGCCTGGTTCACGCTGCTCCTGCTGAGGGTGAAACTAATAGGATTTTCACGCTCCCAGCTGTGAAGGCCTCTTGCTTCTGCTTACTTTCCTTATTATAGACTTGTACTCGGCTTCTTGCCCGTAGTCCCTCTGTAAAATGAAACTCACGGCAGGTGTATTGCTGGGCCAATTTCACACAGATCTATAGAGTTTGCTTTCATCTTTTCCACATTATTTGTACAAAGTCCATGGCTTTTTTGTGATTCTTGGCACGTTGTTGCTCCGATATACTTTAACCTTTATACGATTACATTCTCAGTCAACACATGCACATCTGTTGGTGTTCTTCGTCTTACCCCCGGGGATCATGAGGGAAAGGGCACCGGTTGAGACAGACTTTGGGACTTTTGCCACAGCGCCGGTCTTCTCTGCAGCGCTCTCAGGCCGCAGAGAGTTGTTCTGAGGCCCATGGTCTGTGGAGGCATGGCTGGTACTGTCGGGGCTCTGCAACCCCTCACCTCTGGGGGTCAACTGGTCCAGATGTTCTGAGAAACTTCCTGTTTATTACAAAAGATGAGCATGGAGTAAGGGTAACATGTACTTCCCTTGATTAAAGATATGATTGCCATTCTTGAAACAACTGTTGGACATTTTAGGAAATAATCTTACTGCTTATTTGATTTATTTTCAAGAGTAAGATGACACAATTCTTACTAAACTCATGTCTGTTATTTGAGTGCATTTTCACTCTATCGTGATTGTTTTGTCCATACAGAAACTTAAACAAGGCAAATTATGGATTTAAAAGGAGGTTAAATGCCTGAACAGAAATCAAACAAGTAGCTTTAAGTGATAAATGAGGAGAATGTAAGACAATTTTTGATTCTGTAGTTTCATTGTTTCAGAGATCTTACAACTTATACATTTTTATCAAATGAAAACCAGGCAGAAGAATAAGATACTTAAACACTATGAAATTCCACACAGTGTAATGTTGTACCAGAGAGCGTGGCTCCACTGTGAGTGCTGCCTGGAGTGGTAGCGTCCGGCTCGTCCTGCGGGAGCTCTCCGATGGAGATGGAGGTCTTGCTGGGGTCACCGAGGCCGGAGGTCTCGTCTGCTTCACTCTCTGCTGAGATGGCAAACTTTGGCAACACGTTGGGGCGAAGACCCGGATTCAGACTGTCGGTGTCTGTGGAGTGGGAGAGTGAGGACCTGGTGGAAAATAAAGAAACATTTATAATGAGATGAACAGATTCTAACTAACAGAAAGAGCTGAATGTTGTTGGAATGTATTGTATATGTTTTGTGTTTTGGCTAGGTTTATATGAGGATTATGTTAAGTAGCTAATCCATACCAGCAAACTATTCATGTGACTGATTATTTTACGGTTCCCATTTCATCCAAATAGGTATTTTCTTCTTGTGTGTAATATGGTTTTCTAATCCTAGCATTATGCCTTAACTGCTTATATGATCTCTGCTACATACTGTATTTGGTTTATGCATGTGTTTAATGAACTTGAGTTTCAAACATACATTTCAGCAAAATCTGGTGTCCAGCTGAGAGAGTCGACAGTCAGTGGGCTCTCACTCTTCTTCCCCTCCGTCTCTCCCTTCTCCTCCAGGAGCCCACGGGACAAATCCAGGCTGCTGTAAACCTGACAACCACACAGAAACAATATCTCACTTCAGTACATGCAGGCTGTAAAGGCAACATTATGTTTAAAACACACATTGTCAGATACTGATTAAGCTGCACAGATTGATTAACAAATGCAGTATTATTTACAGGAAATGTGATGCAGATAAGTGCTGTCGGTGTTCACGCAGACTTCACCATGAATTACAACCTTGGAGTTCAAGGTGCAGTCGAGGGAAAAACATTGAGTGTAGCTCAACGCTTCCTCAGAGAAGCCCCGCTGCTTTCTGAGACACTGTAATGCTCTGTGTTGATGTGAGAGGGGAGCATACTGCAATGCAGCACAACAATGACTCCCAGCTTGTACGACTGTATTGTGTATTGTGTTCCACATTACCGAAAAAGAAAAAACAGATCTGATTTGCAGGCGGAAAATGTATGCAAAGCCAACGTTTAATACTCTAGGGGTAAAGGAGCAGCGGGTGTGTTTTCTAGACACACATTTTCATATGAAATACCACTTGCTCATGAGAAAACACGAGTCCATCCACTCATTTACATTACTAACATCTCAGGAGGTAATGATGATGTACATGTGTTAGTCTGAGAAATGTGAGGGGAGCAGATTAAGGACAAACCTTGGAGAATCGGTGCGAACAAGAGGAGAACTGCCGCAGCTCCACATTGAAGTCTTCATCGTTTGTATCGTCCTCTTCTGTCTCTAGGTGATGGTACCTCTCAGAGCGAGCTGGGGATGATGGGAGGTTCAGATTACACTCAGTTATTAAGAGTTTTAATGAGTGCCTCAAGGTGATTTAAGTGATTTAAGTAAAAGAGGCTTTTAGCAGAGTCACTTCGTGGATTTGTTTATTTAATTTACAATATGTTGGTGTGTCATGTGAGTTGTACTATAAATGTTCCAGGCCAATTCTTCCAATATTCTTTCTTTAAAACAAGAAGTTTTTTCTGGCTGTATCTGCACAGGTTTTTAATCACATGGCAAACAAACATGAGAAAATGAATAAAGATAATATCAAAGTATTTTATTACACATCTATTCTATTTGCAATATCATGTTCTAGGTTTTGGAGGTACAAATCAGCAGTTAGGAAAATGTGTTATAAATATCTGGCACTTATGGTTCATGTTTAATTCTGATGCAAGCCGTAGAAGTGCTCCACATTGAAATGGGACTTTCAGAACCAGGTTCGCCCAGAAATACAGATAAACAACTTATAAATACTGTATGATGATAATAGAACATTTGACATATTTAGTATCATACATTTGCTTTGATTTTTAAGGGGATTTAAGGGTGTTTGTGTTCACATAAAAGAGAAAACTCACTGTCGAAGTAGCTGGTGTCATCCTCAGACTCCAGCTGAGGAATAAACTCTGCCTTCTGCCTCAGCAGGCTGTTCCAGTCCAGGTCACTGAAAAACTTATTCTGCTTTACTTCTGCAGCTCCACCTACAGATCAAACAAGCACAAATGATAACTACTTTAAATACAATTTCAAGGACAGACGTTAAAACTTATTGTGATGAAATGAAAACACTGGGAATTAAAAATGAGTGTCTCAGAGAGATACAGGACGTAAAAAAAACAAAAACGCTATGTTTTCCTTTTCCCTTGTGGTTGCAGGCCTAACCGATAACATGACCGTAAATTATGCAGGACAATTTCCTGCCCGTGACCTTTTGTGGAGTAGCAGGAGACTTTGTAAATGGCAGCCTGGAGAGGGGGGTTCTAGACGAACAAGGCGTCCAGCTGTCCCCCCAGTTGAACATGCTCCGTGCATCCCTCTCTTTGAATGCCTTTGTCCCAGGTCATGGCATCTTTTAACACTCCACAGAGCTACACACTCTTAATGCCAGATCATGCATGGAACTAGATTCATGGACTGGCAGGGAAATAATTGCAATAGATCAAAGGGACGAGGTGAAGAGGCCACAGGATAAACTGCTCTGCTGTGGGGTGACCTCAATTTCTTCCCCGGTGACTAGGAATTATGAGCGGTGCAGAGGGGGCTCTAAGGGTCACATGATAATTTATGGAGGCCTGCTGCGCCTCTCTGATCCTAACCGAGATACTGGCTGTGCCACATCTCTCCTTGCCCTTTGTGTCAGTACCTGCACCCATCCGGTCCAGAGGGTTCTGTCGGAGGAGCAAGGTGATGAGCTCCTGAGAGTCAGGCGGGGGGGCATCGTCTCCCTCAGGCCAGTTGATCTCATCTGGAAAACACACAATGCACGCGATCAGTTTGAAAGTAAAATACTCTGACATACAAGAAGCCCATGAACCTCAACAGCTATTATTTAAAGATAGAAAGCAACAAGCTTTGATCAGGAAATACATAGAAGTGTTTCTGAGATCACTGTAGGTAAAAAACAAAACCAGAATGAGTTGCTTTATTGCTTTAAAAACATGACTTGCAAACTAAATAGTCAATCCCTGTTAGCTCAGAGTGCATAATTAGTTGTGTGCATTTATTCATCTGCAAGGAACAGGCCATACATAAGCAATCATGACACTGTAGCAGTCGACTTGCTCCATGTTTTATAGCTTGTAAATTATAAACCAGTTTATGAAAACATTAGGAGTATCAAAACAAACCTTAGGTATGTTGTAAGATTGTTTTTAAATTATTATATTGAATGTGATACTTTCATGTAATTGTGGCCCACTGCTCTGAGGTGCTCTTTTAAAGAAATACTTAGCCAGCAAAGTCAGACAAATCAGAGTCAGTTCTGAGGTGTAAGCATAATGTTAAATGAGACAATTTACATGTGCTTTTTTTCTAAAAGCCTCACTGAAAAGGGGAGCAAAGCCTGTCTGTGCCCTGCTGATTGTCTGCTCTGTGCACCATTTGGCCCCATTTTAATCAAATTTGGGAGGGGAGCTATGAATATGTATGTGCGGCCCGAGGCCACGGTGCCATGCAGTCAGTGTGTTCTGGCGTCTTTAATTAACAGTCCCTCTCAGAGGCTTGGTACAATTGAGAGCATAGCAAATCAGTCATGGCATGCCATTCATTTCCATGCCACAGATAGAGGCCCTTATCCAACAACTCAGAATAATACAATTCATCTGAGCCACACCGCTGACAAGATAAAAGCTCTTGTTTTCAAGATTAAGATTTTCTCTCTGTTGCTGTCACCATGAGACTACAAGATGAGAACAAGTAACATTATCAGAATTATAAAATTCACTTGTGGTCTAAAGTCAAGATAAATCCACTCACTGCCATCTATTTGGCTAACAAAACTCGAGGGAAATGTCTGTCTCCAATAAATTGAGAAAAATGCACACGGACTAATTCCTTGTGGTCACTATGTAAATGTTGAATTCATATCTGATTGAGAATATCTCCTCATGTGCTTACAGTAATCTACAAGCCAGATGCTGTGAGGGAAGCATGAAGCACTAATAAATATAGTTTATTTTGATCATGAAGTACAAACTTTAATGAAGAATACTAAAAGGATGACGTTTTGTTTTTGCTTCAGTGAAATGTCATGCTTTGCATTGTAATTAAAATACGTCATGTAATGGTTAAGGGAAATAAAAAGCTTGAGTTTCTGTCTTATCATGTCATTGTGTATTTTGGTTTATTTTTGTCATTGCTATTACTGTCATGGTATTTTTATGTTATTATCATTATTGTTTTGTAATAATTGTTTTGTCATCTTTTTTGTATTTCTTTGTTTATATAGCACTTGCATTTGTAATCTGTATTTTCTCCTGTTATTGTGTTATGTGTGGGAAAAACCAATAAATAAAGTGTAAAAAAAATAAAAAAAGAAGCTTGATTGACCGTCTTAAATCAACAATTAAGGAACTTTGTTTTGCGTCCAAGGCAAGCTGTTAGCGTTGGACTAAGGATCACACATCTATTAGTGAGGTTTAATACACTTCACAGATGTCACACAGAAACTCTACTAATAGTTTAACATTTTAGGGGGAGTAATACTGACCACTGATGACCTGTCCGAACAGCGCCTCCGGTGTGTCTCCAAAGAAAGGCACGCAGCCCACCAGGAACTCGTAGAGGATGATGCCCATCGCCCACCAGTCCACCGGCTTCCCATAGCCCTGTCTCAGGATCACCTCTGGTGCAATATACTCAGGCGTTCCACAGACCTATACAGAATTAAATATGAATAAATATTCTTAACAAGATGTGGTTTGAAGAATAGGTTTTGTCCAAACTTTCAGTAAATAAGATATACCTGCTTATCAGAGAACTCCCTGGCGTCTTTCTCTATATGTCCCTCATACAGGTTAGTGGTCATGCTCATCAGCCCGACTTTGGACAACCCAAAATCTGTCAGTTTAATGTGTCCCATTGATGTGACCAGCAAACTGCGAGGAAACAAGAGAGAATGTAAAAATTACAAGGAATGTGATGATAAAATACAACAGTTACAGTAGGAAACCTTTAGGCAGTTGAGCTTCTACATAGTGATAATTACAGTATGTAGAAGTGCACAGGTTACTTATATTCCTAGGTAATCAGAATATATAAGCAGCATTAGAAGTTTTTGAAAAAATATTGATAGTAATCAGTAATTACTTTAGTAACGGTAGTAGTGATACCACAATGTACAATTCCTGCTTTCATCAATTCACTTAAAGAATATAAACAAATATATGAAAAAGTACTTTAATTCCCAAAACTTAAAGAACTAATAAGGCAAAATTATTTATTTGATAATGATATATTTTTATGTATGTAAATTAGTGACACATTAACATTCACGACATTCTGATGGAAATATCTGTCAGTAAAATGCTTAATCTTGTCCACCAGCTAGTTGCTAACTTTGTCTGTTTGATGCTGAGCAGGAAGTGGGCAGTTGGATTTGAGATTTCTTTACCGCATTTAGCAGAAACAGGCTAACCAAAACAATGTCATAAAGATGCTAAACTGTTGGTAGCGCTGAAGTGAAATGCAGATATGAATAATCTATCTCTATAGGGTTCATATCTAAAATGTGCAAGGCCTCACTTGTCTGGTTTGAGGTCTCTGTGGACGATGCCATAGTTGTGGAGATACTCCAGTGCCAGCACCGTCTCTGCAAAATACATCCTGGCCATATCCACAGGCAGAGGACCCATGTTCTTCAGAAGAGTGGCACAGTCTCCACCTTTAGAGATAAATGCAGTGAGAACACAAAGGAGATGTTGTTCAAAGTGCTTTCAGCTGCAGCACTTAAACTGCACTACACAACCTTTCTGCTGACCTTCAACGTACTCCATGACCATGCACAGGTGCCGCCGGGTCTCAAAGGAGCAGTACATGGACACCACAAAAGGGTTCTCTGCAAAGGTAAGGATGTCTCGCTCCACAAAGGCCTGTTGTATCTGATTCCTCAAAATCAGGTTCTGCTTGTTGATCTTCTTCATGGCAAACCGCTGCTTCGTTTCCTTGTGACGAACCAGATAAACAGCTCTGTGGGATAGTTAGGAATGGTTTAAAGGTCAGCTAGGAGACATTTCGTAAGTTGATCATCAAGTCTGAACTTAAATGTTTAAGCAGGAGGTTGGTCTGTTAGTCTATACAAACGTATTATGTATATTTATATTCTGTATTCAATATAGATACATTATGCATACAGTATATATATTTGTATTGTTTATAATATATATATATATATACGGTTTATGTTTATTTGAATGTTGTGTGCAATGCCTTGTTTACATGCTGCTGTGACAAAACTATTTCCTAGACTGGGGAAGTAAATCTAATATAATTTAAAAAAATGAAATTGTTGGTGATGCATCTATAACCAGATCAGATCAGATTTGGAATAAGACGTCCTTACCCATAGGCACCATTGCTGATGAGTTTTTTCATCTCAAAGTCTAGTTCACAGGGTTTACGCCGACACCGCAGGGCTGTGCTGAGGCTCTGAGACTGAGGGCGAGAAGAGAGACAAATACTAGAACAACTCAAAAAGATCAAATCTGTATTTTTATCGTACTCATGCAGTAAAGACAGAGGAGATCAATAGGAAAAAAGTGCTTACAGAATCGTCTGTTTCTGGTGTTTCTGCAATCCCGCTGTCACAGCTGGTCAGCTGAGCTATTTCTACAAAACAAATAAAGAAAAAAGAAGCAGTTTAAATGTATAAAGTGTTGCTAGTGGATTAGAAATCTAAAACTGCATGTGAGGCCTACAAGATGAACAGGTTCTGCAGTGCAGTTTTTAAAACAAAGTTAAATGCTGAGAAATCAGGACTTTTAAACAAAACAACATAACAGCAGCCTTTATCGACCTATTAGGTGTGAGGTGCTGACTCCAAGATAATCTGAATTGAGAATAAATGGGGCGGAAATTAGATTTGGCAACACAAACACATGTCTAACACCCATTTTGAAAATCACTACTCCAGAACAACTGCTCATTATAAACCACCTTGCATCTTTTAGTTTTTTTCTCTGTGTTATTTTGCAATCATGCCACAGTCCATGTGTGTACTCTCTCAGGGGGGTGTTTGTCCTGCCCCGAGAGAGCCTGTAAACACATTTCCGCTACTATTTAACATCTGTCCTCCCTTGTAAGTCTGCTTGAGACACATAAGGCATGGGGCAAACGCAACACAAGAGACACTCGTGGGAAATGAGAGGAGAGATGGGCTGATGAGGCAGCCTGTGTGGATCTGTGTTAGGTCTGTGGGGAGGCCATTCCTTTCTAATTAGTCATAATGAATGTGGTTTGTTGCTGAATCTGGAGGGACAGAGGGTCATTAGAAAGACGGTCTGTTCAGGACAGGACATTAGTCAAGAGTATCTTTGTCTTTCAGTTCTTTCATTCCTTCACAGCTTCACCAGTTACTGTGTATTCACATTTACCGCATCACTGACGACTGTGACACTTTGATGGCGTTATATAAGTAAACCCTAAAACATTATCTGGATACCATACATTCCTGCAAACTGCCAACGTAATAGTGGAAATGCTATATATTATTAGAATATTTTACTTTACATTTCATGCTGTTCGGTCGTTTGATTGTCTAGTGAACCAAGGAAAGATATTTGTAGTAAGGCTGTCCCAAATAGCTTGAAGCTCTAACCATAACATTATAGTTCATAATAGGGCTGTGCGATTATGGCAAAAATCATAATCACGATTATTTTGGTCAATAATTGATATCACAATTATTAAAAACGATTATCCATTTACTTTGAAAACATCCATTTATTGAAAAATAAAATTGGAACAGTATGTTTTTAACAGTTGATTACCCTGAACTTAAAGTATAATTCAACTGAAAAACCAATAAAAAAAAATATTAAAAAAATTAATAATTACATTTTTTTTTTTTTTTTAATAAAAATAATAATCGTTTTATTTCGATTACGTTGTTTTCGTAATCGTTGCAAGCCAAAATCGTTATCGAGATTAAAATACGATTAATTGCACAGCCCTAGTTCATAATAATCATTTGAATGTTGTGTTTTTTTTTTAAGCACATCTATTCATTCTGTTTAAACCTTGTATTTCCTGGTGTTATAGTTTGTATTTTAATATCGCTGATGTTGATGATGATAAACTTCCTTTACCTTCCAGAGGATCTCTTGTGAGTCCCAGCTGGCTGATGATGTAACGTGGGATGTCTGTTTTGATGCCCTGGCCCTCTTTAGCGTGTCCTTCAGCAGCCTCCAAAAGGTGATAAAATTCCTCCGGGTCAAATTCCTGCAGACACACAGCAGCACGATTTAGTATATGAATAATGTTTCAGAAGTGTGTTTGAATTACTTACACTTGTAGGACTTTTCTGTATCAGACACTCACAGATGTATTTTATAAGTTGCCGTGTGCAGTAAAAAGTGGCATGTGTCAACTCTGCTAAACGTAGATAAATACACTGCTTTGATACTGTCAGACTTACCTACTACTTGAGTCACACATATAAAAAGAAAGAAATACTACAGCAAAATGTTTTCACAAAAATAAGAAATATATTTAAAAATCAAGTGGAAATGTTTTATATAAATCCAGGGGTAAACAAACGGATCAGAGGCTGTTCAGTGATATTTAACCTACCAGACATTCCAGCAGTCGAGCAGGTCGGGCTATGATGATGAGGATCTTCTTCACCAGCTCTTTGATGAAGTTTACCTCGTCACTCTCCGATCTCTCTGTTGACTGCACAGAAAGATACAGGATTTCCACATGTTATTGTAAGCTAGTAAAAGTCAGGTACATCAAAAACGCAACATGGTTTGTATTTATGACAATTTGCGCCTGTAACGCATAACCATCATGTTTCTAAACAGAGGTTGTACTTTCTGGAAACCCTAACGACTCATTTAAACATCTAGATGAGAAACAGAATTCTTTCTGTTGCACGATAGAAATAAAGATTTTCATCAGTTTCATAATACTTTTCTTAACCTAAACAAAGATGGTACCTAGACATGATATATATATATATATATATATATATATATATATATATATATATATATATATGCCCTGGTTGAAATTCACTGCTCAAAGATGTAAAATGCTCAGTTATATTTTTAATATATATCTTTTTATCTTGAATCTTTATTTTTCTTTCATAAAAAAAAGGAAAAGAAGAGCATGGACACATTGACATTTTGGCTACTTGCAACATAAGAAACAAGTTCAAAAACATTTTATGGTGAAAACTACTAAATAACTTTTCATCTCGAAGTGAAAAAAATCGGATAATAATTGTTCTAATTCACGAATACTTTAGCTCTGTAATTCAAATGCAATATAATACATCGAAAACACAAAATGGGGCTCTATCTTTGTGCTGTCTTACACAGCACATTTGAACACGGTTTAGATTATATCTTCATTGAAATAGTAGATCATTCCTGGAGACGCGCTCACCTCCTGAACCAGCCTCTCCAGCTTGTCAGTGAGCTCGCAGAAGTAGCTGGAGGTGATGAGTCCTTGCCGGCTCTTCTCCAGACAATCACGGGCCAGCTCAATGATCTGGTGGTGGGCAAAGCCGAGCACACCATCTGCCAAAGGGAGGACGCTCTCTGGAGAGTTGCTTCGGATGATGTCTTGAATCCTTTCCTCCATCTGAGCGGTGGCCTGCAGGAAGAAGGGAAGGTGTCAGTTTGTCAATGCTAAACATAATTAATGGCCAGACACGGCTGACAGCTGTAGTAAACATATTGTGAGCTCTCACTCTGGGAAATCGCTCCTTGTAGACGTGGTTCATCATGATAATCTCATGGTCGTAGCATGAAGGAGATCTTCCAGGGCTGAAAAACAAATTGGACACAAATCAGTGCATTTGAAATGTTGACAAAGTATTTATACAATGGACAAAAATACACATATGCTAAGATTATATATTTATTTTCTTAAAGAAATATGGGCACCGCTAATGGAGATCATTTGGGAACATAAGATTTATTACTCAAGAATCATATACTTAGGAAGGGACTGTACTGCATTTGATACCAATCTATTGTACTATATAATTGATAGTACTCCAATACAACAATATATAATACACTAATATGAAGTCTGTTTAGATTGTAATAATATTTATGTATTTTTATGATATGATATCTATATTGGAAATAATATGTGGGACTTATTTATATTAACCGATATGTAGTATATGTACTGTATGTATTGATATGCTTGTTTTATTTACGTTGTTTTTTTTCAGTGCTATTACAACTTTATTTTGTGTTGATTTGTTTTGTCATTTGATTTTTTATATATATAAAATCAAATAACAAAACAAATCGTATATGAAAACAACCAACGTAAATAAAACAAGCATTACAATATTAATATATATACAAGCATAACAATATTAATATATATATATATATATATATATATATATATACAGAGGAAACTGTTGAACTGTATTAAAACATGTTGATCTTAAAGGTAGGGTAGGTCATTTTGAAGTAAACCAGCTCGAGTGCGCTAGAATTTGAAAATACACAACCGGAGAAAATCTGCCACTTCCTTACAGAGCCACTCCTCCAACACACACGAACGCGCACATGACCAATGAGGGCACGAGATAAGTTTGTGCACAGATGGAAGGCTGACAGGCAGGTAGGCCATCCAGTTATTTTAGCCGGGCCGGCTCAGATGATTGGTCGTGCTTTTTACAGCGCTACGGCTTCCACAGATGACATTTTTGTATGTATTTATTGTCAAAGCATTTAATGTATTCATTGGTATCGGGATGTTAAGAGCATTCCATGGAATATAACAAAAACTGTTTCTGAAATAAATTACATACCCCACCTTTAAAGTGGATTCGAGCCACAAACCAAATAAAGATAAAACTTTATTTAAAAAAAATCAGTACTTGAGTGGTACCAATGTTACGCACTTGCACGTTAGGATGATGTATATTTGCAGAGAGGACAAATACCTGAGACTGCGTGATCGCGGTCGCATCTGAGCCGAGGCTCTGCGGCACTCATCCCCAGAGATGCTCTCTGTGCAGAAATGCTTAGAGAGGAAGTGCAGTTCATCAGGCGTAGGCTGGAAGGGCAGCTGGTGCAGCTTCTCCTGTGATGAACAGGATGACTGGAAATGAAACACATTTAAATTCAAAATGAAAAGAAAAAAAAAGAAGACGGCATTTTTTTTTGTGGATGAAAAAAATACCATAAAAGAAAAATCATGCATTTTGGCAATTTTCTGTACATTTTAGGGAATAGTTTCACATTTTGGGAATTATGCTTTTTTTGAGAGTCAAATAGCATAATGACTAGAAGCAGAGGGAAACAACTAGCCTAGCGCTGCCCAAAAGTTGTTCATTTTACATTTAAGTCTTTGTAAAGAATAACTAACAACATAACGTGTTAATAAGTGACATTTAGATGTAATGCATTTTTCAACCTTGTTTCCCAGTGCTTCCAGACTTGCTAATGCTAAATTAAGCTAACCATCTCCTGGCCGTAGACCATGCTGTAGACAAGGCCAGTGCAATATTTTCCTGTAACTCTTAGCAAGAAAGCAAATAAGCGTATTTCCCAAATGATTAACCATACCACTAAAGCACACAAAATGTACATGGGACATTGATACAGCTCTTACAGTGGACACACAACAATTATCAAATAATAAATACATTCACTAACTGTTGTAGTGAATAACTGAAGAATGAGCTTGACCGTTAGCACATGCTAAAGACGTTTACTGTTTCTAGTATGAATTGACTCATGACTTCAGCAGAGCAACAAGGACATGCTTCCTTCGATAGATGGGGTGTACAGCAGGAAATGTACCAGCTGACCAAATGTCACACAAAACAAAGACACAATCCTCATGATACTTTGTAATCCTGTTAGTCTGTGTTTACTTGGACTGTATTGTATGCAGATGTCTACTTCCTATAAAAACAGATATATTTGAACACAATTACGTTTGAGAGATGTAGACGGAGGAACTAGTCACAATAAGAGAGATAAATGTGTGGGTGTGTGCTTGTTGCGTTCTTGTCAAAGTCATGTTTACTCCAGAACAAATCTGTGCCTCTCATAGAGAATGTTTGTTCACAAAGAATTGTGAGCCAGGCTCATAAAGGGTAAATAGAGCCACCGTGACAAATACTGTAACTGTACTCCACATTAAAGTAACTTTACTTTGTTCTGCATGCTGACAGATGTTTACTTGACCAACTTCCTATCATGTTTTTGCATTATGAATTGTTTGTTATTTAATTTGCTATTTTTGGGTCACTTAATAGAACGATCTGTCAATCAAACTGTATTATCAATACTATGTGACTCGAATTAAAAAATGTAAGAGAAAAAATAAATGACAAATGGCAGGTGAACAGAGATGCAGAATTCTCAGAATCTTTTATCTTCATCATCATCTGTTTTTTATCTTGTGCATATTTTGGAACGCATGCTTACACAGCCTATATATGCACTCTTTCCTACTTTGTTCTGCAACTGCTGCAAACAATTTACCTCAGGATGAATCATTTGGGGTACAACACTAGCAGGTTAACCTTTCTCTTACTGGCTGGGTTATATAAAAAAAAAGAATTACCCTGGCAACATTTTACAATATTTGTATTTGACTCTAATTATGTAGAAACTTTACATGTATATATATCTATTAATTTTACTTGCTACAGTCATACCTTGTTTATGACTAAGAGGAGAACAAATATAGCTTGTAGTTTATTGAATAACAAATAATCACGATATTGTTTCCTTAAAATATTCCTTGCTGCTTTTAATTACTCAGTTATGTTGATTTCTTTCATTTGTTTTCTTCAGATTATTTAAATTGACCTGTGATATGTTTTGATGCCACATGAGTCACACTTGGTTAGTGAATGATGCTTACAGAGACGGTGGAGCTGGGCGTGTTGGTTCCATATCCAGAGGAGGGAAGGGAGGCCAGCGACCAGCGGCGACCATCAGTCCTGTTACACAACAGCAGAGACACAGAACATCACACCTCAGAGTCTCACGCTGAATCCATAATGAACAATACATGATGAAGCTAGTCGGTGAGAAAAACGTGTCTTCTTTTAAAAACAACTTATCCTTTCAAATGAAATATGAATTATTTACATGTTTGTATTCAAAACTTGTAAATGAACTGCTACAATCTCAATGAATATGTGGTTATAGATGAATGGTAACCTGTTTTCAGATGATTTGATTTACACAACATAGGAAAGCAAACACTGAATGAAGATCTGAAACCTGATGCAAGAAGGATGGAACAGAAAACGTATGGCAAACTAATGAAGGGGGTAGGATTATAAAGTCAACTTTGTACAAATGAGATGTAATGAAAAGTCAAGCTCAAATGAAAACCTAAAATAAAATGTTACCTGTCTGCTCTGTGGCAATGACTGTGGATTTTAATAAAAAACACAATTACATGATATCGTGTTGAGTTCAAAGTAAAAATAAATAAATAACACATAATTATTGATGCTGTTTTTAAAGCAGAAATAGACTCAAGAAGCTATACATTTACACTTGGGCTGGCAGGGAATATATATATTTCAGTTTTTACTGTTGAATAGCTACGACTCGAAGCACACTGTTTTTATTTTTGATGAACTGCATCCAACAAGTGCCCCTCTGGTCTCTACTGGCTGAAGTCCAGCTGCAAATAAAGTGGATATCAATGGTTATTATTACCTTCGTGCAAAGGAGAAATGAGCCGAGGCACTAGGAGAGAAATTTCTGGGACTGTCTTGTGGGCTTGTTCCTATAAGAAAAACACAAGATGAAACAAACATTTAAAAGGTTACTTACAGAAAAGGCGAATTGCTGTAGTTGATTGTGAAATTTGCAAAAGCACGTACAGTACATAGCGTCTGAATTGAATGAACAAGGGGCATATTTAGGTTATTCCTTAAATAAAAGAAGCATGTTTTGTAACAGACATAATATGCTATCTATAATGTATAATACATTGTTAATAGAAGCGTTAGGGAATTACCGGTAAACACATCATGTTTAAAATAAAAATATGTACTAGTAGGGACTTTTTCAAAAGCACCAATTAGCAGTTGTGTTTGGACCGCCGTAATGTAAGAACAAACCTTATGGTCTTGCATTAATCAGACATTATCCATACTGGCGGACAATGATTGCCCCACTGAAGCTTGTTAGTGATTAACATGACCTTTTTTATTCGACTGTAATCTTAATCACAGCCAATTACAGATAATAACCTGTTCCTTTTGTATTAGCCTGCACCTGAAGAGACATATTATTTACTGACTGTGAGAACGTTGTCCGTGAGGAATAACAGGAAATATGGTTCAAGGTCATGTCGTCTATAAAATGATTCATGATCATTACCAAAGGCTTGATCTGTGAGAGATCAAAAGAATAACATCCAGTCTATTTAGAAACTTTCTTATGCTGCGTCATCCGTGTATTCTACAGTGGACTCACTTTTCATTCCTGCTGTAAATGGAACTAAAAGGATGTTTTTCTTACCTTTGGCACCAATATTACGACTGAGCCACAGAGTTAGGTCATCCCAGCGCTGAACACATTCATTAACAAGAAGAACATTGTGGCTTTCTGAGTCCATCTTTAAGACTTCGTTATGTAGAAGTACAGACCAAACTCTGTGAGTTGTGGCTCTATCTTTGCTGACCAATGCCCGGAAATAAAACGCCCTGTGTTAAATGAGGCCTGCCCTCCCTCCGCTCCCGTGCATTTCCTCTGTGCAAGCCACCACTTCCTCAGCCAGCACAATCACTGCCCTTCAACCTGCTACTGTACGGTTTAAAACGGCCCCAAACACCACAGCAATGACCTGAGACAGATTCATTTACACTGAAAGAGGTTAGCTTATATAACAACTTTTCACTTTCACAAGCCTATTTTAGAATCAGTCAACAGTAAATAGTGTGTACATTACCTGTGATTTTCCATCTGATCATATCATTATTGTATGACTGTGCCTAATAGTGCTGCCACTGGTTTAAAGCTATTAAAAGGGAATCGCAGCAGGAATATACTTCTACTTGCATTTTCTGGTATTTTGCATTACACATTTGTGATTTTGGCATGTACTGTACACTTACCCGTTAGAGACGAGAGAGGCGAGTGAGGTCGGGGTAAACCTGTAGACTGACCGCTTCCTATCAGGCTTTTTCTGTTGCTCGTTCTGCAGCTGTGAAACCACAGAGTCAAATATTAGGCAGGTCACTGGACACAAAAATGACCTTTTCACATATTCCCTTATTAAAAGCAGGCCAAATCTCAACTCATATGTTTAATAACGTTGTGTTTGAATATGTTACAATATACTGCATGCTCCTTGGTATTTGTATTTGTTCCTCTTTTCTTTGGTTTGGTGCTATTTTTGGGGATTTTGTATTGTGTATAAGTCAACCTCTGTCATGGCATTGTTCTTGTCGGGTGTAAGAGAAACAAAAACAAAAAAAGGATTTTGTATCCTGTAAAACTTTTTAAAAGTTTTGTAAAAAGAGTCCGATAAATGTACCAATTCAATGGTTGAGTAAAATGTCATCAAACATATATTAGTAGTGGTTACATTTGATACATTGATATTCTGATGGTTGTTGCAGCCGTTTGTGCTTCCATAAATATCGTTCAACACATTTGTGTGAACATCAACGTGTTTCTATATTGACCAACATAATAACTTCAGTTTTACAAAAAAGAATGTTTCTAAAGAGTCTCATTATTGTGAATAAGATGTCACTCATAGTAGCTAATTATACCCATTATATATACAGTATGATAATACACATCCACTTACAGAACTAATTACTTGGTTACATATATTTCTGACTGAATCCTCTATCACAATACCAAAACAGAGCCTCTAACTCGAGGGTGTGTTTACAGTCCTGATGTTAAGAGGTAATATTGGTACAAACAGTACCATGAAAACAAGAGACAAAACATCCTCCTTCAAAGGTTTCTTTGTGCAGCATTTATTATGCTTTTAGTTGTGTTGATCATGTTAATACATGACTGTGACTCACAAGGGAACATTGGATCAACAACACGTGACTCATAAATGTAGCCCAGTTTTTAACCTTGAGAGGAGAAATGAACTATTTCAAAGTAAGAAACAGCTTCCAGTGTTCAATGCACCGATAAGTCTTGGGTTTATATTTTCAAATTAGAGGCTGTCAGTGGAAACGCTGCATCGTGCCTGGAGAACGTGAATTCACTTCAAGGTCAGAGACTCAATGACATCCTGTTACATAACCTCCTCAGAGAACTGAACCATTTCTAACTGCATTTTTAAGATGTTATTCAATAATGCTGCTTCCATCCTTTGCATAGTACGTACGTGTGTGTGTGTGTGTGTGTGTGTGTGTGTGTGTGTGTGTGTCTTGATTTTACTGCAGCGTTTAATGACCATACTAACGTGCTAAGTGTTAACCCTTTGGTTCTTGCTTGGATGATTTTTCAAGGGAGGCTACAGGGTGTTCTGTATACTTCAAGTGTTGCACCGGTTTTACCCTTTAGATGTTATGTAATCTTACTGGCCAGCAGAGGTGGGAAGTAACTAAGTGGATTTACTCAAGCACTTCACTTAAGTACAATTTTGAGATACTTGTACTTTACTTGAGTATTTCCATTTATGCTACTTTGTACTTTTACTCCATTACAATTAAGAGGGGAATTGTTTACTTTTACTCAACTAAATGTATTTTGTACCTTAATTTACAGATCTGGATTAATGATGTGAAATATAATCAATAATTAAAGTCATTAAAACTAGCTGCACCTTTACCAGCTTTGATAAACACATGAATGCATCAATAATCATAATAAAAACACATAATATATATATTTTTCTGAAATGGGCCAATCTGCATAATGAGTGCTTTTGGTACTTTAAGTATATTTTGATGCAAATACTTTTGATTGCAGGACTTTTACTTCTAACAGAGGATTCCTACAATCTTGTACATCTTGAAATCTGAGTTCTTCTCCGACCCCTGCTCACTAGCTAGATTTAAAGCATAGAAGACAATGCTCTTTACTAATTCTCCCTCACATTTTGCCCTTGAAAATCTGATGCAAAAGAGGCCTATGGATCAATGTTGTGCCCATGTTGGTGTTGATGACCTACGGGCAATTTCCCACACATTTGATGCATCGTTTTGACCATGACACCAGAAATGTCAGCTGACAGAGAGAGAATACTTGCTCCTGCTTAATGGTTGAGCAATTAGCCAAATGGTAAAGTTTAATGTGATGATGAATAAACGACAAACAATTGAGAAGTATTAACCAGTTAGTGGTCCTCATGGCTCAGTCCTCTCATGATTATAAATCAGAGGATGCAAACATTTTATGATGCTCGACATTACAGAGAACATTTCAGGTAGTTGAATATCCAAAAAAAGCAATGACCTTCAAGCTGAGGTCAGTCATTTCAGGATTTAAAGTTCAACGTGATGTGACAAGCACATTAGAAAGATTATTTTATTATTCTGATTATAATACGCCTTTGATTGAATCAGTTGTAGCGGACTCTAAAGATATAATTGACCATTATCGGACAGTGATAATGTATTATGTAATGTTGCAAACTGAAGCAAACACCTTTTCAAAATAAATAGTTGCATCCAACAATTTTCTTGCACTCTAAGTTTTCTCTTTGGCACAATTGAAATGTAACGAGTGCTAACAATGAATTTTGATACGGAAATGAACAAAATAAAATAAATTCTTTTTTGAAATTTGAGGGGCTTTAATGCTGCTTAATATGAATCTTACATATGTGCACCAGCATATGCAGGGGGGCAATGATGCAGCAGAAATGTGTGGTTAGAAAGAGTTTGTTCTGGTAAATCTGAGGTAAGACACTTGTTAGAAAAATGTCAAAGTAAATAAGAGATTTAGGATAAGAAAGAGAAAAAAATGTTCTTTCATGAGGCCCAGTAAGGTGCATCATATCCCAAGCTGCTCAGTCCTGTTGATATCCCATTGTTACCCATACATTCATCTCCTGAAATCAGTGGGGAAACCCTACTTAGACTGAAATGACATTCATCCTTGTGTCCTCAAGTGGTTTCTAACCCCGCAATCAAGATTGTTGACACGTGCGATGAATCATTTATCGTGGTGAGACGGGAGCGAATAATATCTGGTAAAGGCAAAGAGGATCAGATTTAACAAGATCTATTTATACCCTCTCATGAGGATTAAGCCCAGAGAATGCCACACTGCTGCCCAATCGACCCCGTGCCACTCATGGGGACGTTAAGTGACTGCTTCCGGATTACTTTACAAAACAAACAGTCACCGGTTACGATGGCACGCCGGCCATCTTTATCACGTTTGATGCTAAGCTGAGCGGGTACCTCTGAGGCCAGAAAGGCTGAGTGAGGGGAAAAAAGCGTGACGTTATAGAGAAGCTTTAAAGGAGGGATAAAGAAGCCCTGGGCGAAGATGATAGGGAGAAAGTAGGCCAGTGTTGTATGCCGTTCTGCAGTTGTGTGAGATTCCTGGAACGGATCCATAGAAGGGTTTACCACTCTCGGTGATATGCAAAACCCTCAACCTCATCACACCATTGTTGCGTTACACGTGAAATCTCCACAGCGCAGCTACATCGCTCTTTTTTAACAACTGGAAATAATCTATGAAAAGGTGTTTACCAAAGTAAGAGATACCTTACATATCAAGGTTTATTAAAAGTGCATTTATTTCTCTTCTTTACTGACCTACATTACTGCAACTCTTCAATATCACAAAGTAATCTGAATCTGTCAAAAACAATTTCTTCGATTTCAGAGTGCTTACTTATTTTGGGTACGGGAAGAGGCAAAAATAGATAACAGTCTTTGAATTCAGATAGATTTGGAACGTCTGATCCTGACCCGTGTCAACAAAAAGCCATGATTCATCTTTTTCACTTCTGCCTCTTTAGCTTCCTTGTCAGAGCTGTCAGGTGAGCTGAAAAAGTGCAATGCAACATAAATCACTGCTGCTCGCTGAAAAACCCAAATTCAAAGTCACACATATTACACACACAGCTCTATTAATAGTGTTTAAAAACTTGCTGCTTGGGTAAAAGCAATGCCGCTTTTTTTTTCTCCCCTAACCAATGAAGACTGATTTTCTACATCTGAGAACGTACATCGCTTTTCAGAGACTAAGCTTTGACAAATCTCTAGGGTTTCTGTTAGATTTCCAGAAGCTTATACTTTCACATAATGTGCATTACATATTTAACTTTGTACTTTTGGATATTATGGCCAATAGTTGCAGCAAAGGTCTTACATGTTGCAGTTCTTCAAAATCCTACATCTTAGCAGAATACCGTTTACTGAATCCTTTTTACTATTTAAATGTACAGGAATTACAGGAGGTGTTAGCTGCCTAATTCTTCAGGTTCCAATGTAATCAAAACATAAGACAAACTTGAAAGAATTGCAGCCATTTCAGCTCATTCAGTTAAGGGAACCACTAGCCATCATCTGTAATGAAACTTTCCATCAGATTTAAATAGCCGTTTAATGAAATCAATGATATGGTCAACTTAACATCAATCACCAATTTATTCACAAACCCAGAGCAGAAAACATGGCTGTGATCTCAGACTTTTTCAAGGCTTCAATTTGCCACTAAATATGACAGCGTTTTTTGGAATTCTTATGTACTGATGTCCAAAAACAGCCAGTATTTTAATGTTAAGCTGTTTTTCACTATAAAATGGGTCAGGGCAGAGATTAAAGCTAAATATCAGTTTATGGGCATCACCAAACCATATACAGAAAACTGAGATCAAGTGGCTTAGCTATAAACCAGTGGCTACACACTCTGATTCACATAAACCAATAAAGGGTTTTTAGTTCTGCAATGTTAAAAAGTCAAACCAGAAATGTAGCATGACACAAAGAACAAATCCTTGGTGGTGGACAGAAACTACAGACAACAATCAGTTAAGGAACTATACAAAATAATCAGCATTTCTACTTTCCAATTAATGGGGATTGCATGTAGGGAAGTACACATCGTAAGGAACATGAGACTGCCTCAGCAACAACAAATATTAAATTACCATTTGTCTCACAAAGCAAACACTAGGCTACACAATAGGCTAGGAGGCAACACCCAGCTTTGTATTCATGTTGGCCGCATTAAACATCTCCGTTTACATACTGCAAATATAAGAAA